GGACAGTGCTAATATATTAAAGAGGAAAAGGTACAGATATGTTGTATGAGAGGACCTGAAAGAAGGTCCAACTCACACAATACAACACACACAAAAACTTAATAAAGCAAAGATACATAAAGATAAAAAATCAAAAAACCACCAACAGATGTAAAAGTGTTAGGGATGCTCCACTTTATTCCTCCCTCTGCTAAATATATATATATATATATTTATTTTGAGCTAAAAAGTGATGAATGTGATCGAACAAAGGTTTGTTCATATTCAACACGTTTATAATTCGATCTTAATAAATTCGTTCGTGTTGGCTAGTTTATTTAACGAATGATTCAAACCCGAGCTACTTAAAAAGTTGAACACAAGCTATTCGCAAACGAGTTTTTTTACAGCCCTAATTTCAACTACCAGTGACTATGCTGATAGATGATTGATGGAATTCCTAAGCACTCAAATTGAGTTAGATTAAGATCTCATGTTCTTAGGATTTTGCAATCTCTGCTTCAGATACATGCAAGCAAATAAGAGTAAAAAGGGCTTGTTGCATGTGCAGCTTCACACTCAAACAACAGGACATGTGTGGCACCTTTTCAAACCAAAAGGCATGCTAGCTACCACCACAAATGAGACCAAAAAATTTTGCATAAAATAAAAGGGGAAATTTACATATGTAGCACGCAATTCTTATGTATTTATTTACATATCTCTTTCATATTTACATATGTGTTATTTTTTATGTGATATTAAACTTTGAGTACAATGTTTTTAAATATGAAACTTTAGCTGTGAGATATGTAAATACAAAAGAATTGTGTGCTATGTATGTAAATGCCCCCAAAAAAAATAGTTGAGATATTAATGTGAAGAAAAGGAAACTGACCAAGTGTTTCTTCCCTAAAAGGAAATTTTCCTTTGGAAAGAGTCTCAACAAACAAAGTAGCTAGTTCAGCTCCAGAAGTAACCTACAAATTTGCAAAAATTATTATTAGATAGTTAGCCTCTTTAGAGGGGAAACTAAGCGCGCAAGCAAAAACAATTCATTGAACGAGTACAAGGAATAAATATTAGTAATGATGCATAAGTTAGTGCTGATATAAAAACCAACAATCTTTCTTTACAGACACCCACTAGTTTAGGAAGTTAGGGAATTGCATATATTGTAAATCAATATGCAATAATAACATCAGCTGATATAAGATTTAGATAAATGGCATCGACATAGCGCAGTAAAATGGAAAAGAACTTGGGAATATTCAGAACCAAGGTTCTACTAAGTAAACCTCCTAACCAATCAAAAGCTTTATAAATTAAAAATAATAATAATCCAAAATATTTAATGCTCTGGTAAAGATGGAAAATGATGTGAAAAGACTACACGGACGCAAGTTTACAGCCAAGCAATTAAAAATAGTTGGACCCTTTAAGTAAAAAAGGTTTGGGCTGCTCACAACTCTATTGCCCAATAAGGCAAACAAATGGAGCATTGCCAACTAAAGCAAATTCCAGTTGTTGTAGCCATGCACTATTAATGATTGTCCTTCCTTGAAATCAGAAGGATCAACGAATTCCTTATATTGCAACAAAAAAACATTGCCTTGATCCAAGTTGGAGCAAATTGAATTTTAAAAAAAAACTTATACATTATTACTCTTACTATCCACATTATGATACCAGAGTTAACCAACAACAACATGAAAACCAAATATCATTACTAAACCAAATAGGAAATTACAACCAGGCAACTCAAATAGGAAATAACAACAAACACGATACATAGAAAATCTGAAATTGCAACAAATAACAACATAAATTAAACTAGAGTGGGTCTCGGGGTGGCGATGATGATATGCGAGGGTTTGGAAGGTGGCGGGATTGTCGATGAGGAGGTGGGCAGAACCAAAAACAGCAAGGCAGCGGGTTCCAAACAGTCAGCACGCAGCAGGTATCAACGTGAAACGGTTGTCCGAGATAATGGTGGCAAGGGAGGAATGGATAGAAAACAATGGCAACGAATATGTAGGGCTGCAAAGACGAGGGCAGCGAGGATGGAGGGTTGTTTAGGGGTGGAGACAGCAAGGAGATGGGTGAAATGGGGTTCCTAGAAGGCAATCGCAAGTCAGAAGGGATGAGTGCGGCATTTTGAAGGCGGCAGCAAGGTGGACTGCTAAAAAACAGCCAAAGATGGTTGTTTTCGGGTTTCTACAGTAGGTACGGGGACAGTGTTGGCAAATGGAAGGATTGGGAGGAAGGAAAAGTTAAAGATAAACACCACCTCATAACGAGTACAGCTAGAGAACCACTCGACCATGTATATAACTCTAGAAAAAGAAACCCGAGATGTCGACGGCTGTCTTGATAGAAAACACATCAAAAACTGAGAACTCAAACTCTAATATAACACATATGTAAGAAAACACTAGAAAGTAAGTACGGATAAAGGAAAAGTGTTGAAAATTGAAAAGAAATCGAAAGAGGAGTTGCTCGGTTCAGCTCTGCGCCATTTGTGCGGCCTGGACACCGTGTCCAGTCTTCGTTTGTGAGAAAACCCACGTGAGGGTTGCAATCCCGCGTCAAAAAAAATAGTTGAGATATTAATGTGAAGAAAAGGAAACTGACCAAGTGTTTCTTCCCTAAAAGGAAATTTTCCTTTGGAAAGAGTCTCAACAAACAAAGTAGCTAGTTCAGCTCCAGAAGTAACCTACAAATTTGCAAAAATTATTATTAGATAGTTAGCCTCTTTAGAGGGGAAACTAAGCGCGCAAGCAAAAACAATTCATTGAACGAGTACAAGGAATAAATATTAGTAATGATGCATAAGTTAGTGCTGATATAAAAACCAACAATCTTTCTTTACAGACACCCACTAGTTTAGGAAGTTAGGGAATTGCATATATTGTAAATCAATATGCAATAATAACATCAGCTGATATAAGATTTAGATAAATGGCATCGACATAGCGCAGTAAAATGGAAAAGAACTTGGGAATATTCAGAACCAAGGTTCTACTAAGTAAACCTCCTAACCAATCAAAAGCTTTATAAATTAAAAATAATAATAATCCAAAATATTTAATGCTCTGGTAAAGATGGAAAATGATGTGAAAAGACTACACGGACGCAAGTTTACAGCCAAGCAATTAAAAATAGTTGGACCCTTTAAGTAAAAAAGGTTTGGGCTGCTCACAACTCTATTGCCCAATAAGGCAAACAAATGGAGCATTGCCAACTAAAGCAAATTCCAGTTGTTGTAGCCATGCACTATTAATGATTGTCCTTCCTTGAAATCAGAAGGATCAACGAATTCCTTATATTGCAACAAAAAAACATTGCCTTGATCCAAGTTGGAGCAAATTGAATTTTAAAAAAAAACTTATACATTATTACTCTTACTATCCACATTATGATACCAGAGTTAACCAACAACAACATGAAAACCAAATATCATTACTAAACCAAATAGGAAATTACAACCAGGCAACTCAAATAGGAAATAACAACAAACACGATACATAGAAAATCTGAAATTGCAACAAATAACAACATAAATTAAACTAGGGTGGGTCTCGGGGTGGCGATGATGATATGCGAGGGTTTGGAAGGTGGCGGGATTGTCGATGAGGAGGTGGGCAGAACCAAAAACAGCAAGGCAGCGGGTTCCAAACAGTCAGCACGCAGCAGGTATCAACGTGAAACGGTTGTCCGAGATAATGGTGGCAAGGGAGGAATGGATAGAAAACAATGGCAACGAATATGTAGGGCTGCAAAGACGAGGGCAGCGAGGATGGAGGGTTGTTTAGGGGTGGAGACAGCAAGGAGATGGGTGAAATGGGGTTCCTAGAAGGCAATCGCAAGTCAGAAGGGATGAGTGCGGCATTTTGAAGGCGGCGGCAAGGTGGACTGCTAAAAAACAGCCAAAGATGGTTGTTTTCGGGTTTCTACAGTAGGTACGGGGACAGTGTTGGCAAATGGAAGGATTGGGAGGAAGGAAAAGTTAAAGATAAACACCACCTCATAACGAGTACAGCTAGAGAACCACTCGACCATGTATATAACTCTAGAAAAAGAAACCCGAGATGTCGACGGCTGTCTTGATAGAAAACACATCAAAAACTGAGAACTCAAACTCTAATATAACACATATGTAAGAAAACACTAGAAAGTAAGTACGGATAAAGGAAAAGTGTTGAAAATTGAAAAGAAATCGAAAGAGGAGTTGCTCGGTTCAGCTCTGCGCCATTTGTGCGGCCTGGACACCGTGTCCAGTCTTCGTTTGTGAGAAAACCCACGTGAGGGTTGCAATCCCGCGTCAGTGTTTTGACACCCCGCTTCAAGCTCCTGGGTTTGGGGGAGCTTTGACCTCATCCTTCGAAACTCCTGATTTCTCATGATATGATGTCAAGTTGGCCCAATTGAAAACAGTGAAAATGGTGTAATCTCCCTGTAAGTCAATTATGTAGGCATTGTCATTCCAAAGCATATCCTGATAAAATAAGTATATATCCTCTTTTGGCACAAATTGAGTTGGAACTACATTTAGACATACATTCTCACGAGCCAAATATCAAGCAATTAAATCTATAATTTGCTTCTCATACTCTTCGTACTCGGCTGAGTGTAAATGATAAACAAGTCCATAAAAAAAAATCAACTCTAAAACGAACACTATGGCAGGCTGAACTACACTAAAGTGTAACCGCTCATGAGAGGCCTACTCTTCTTCTCTGGAAAGATTTGGATCCCACCATAGAATTTTCTTTCTCACAAAGCTCCAAAGGCGATTTCCAATATTGTGGTTTCTCTCCTATATAACCATTTGCGGATGGGAGCACTACTAAACAAAATTTAATATGCAAATGACTCAATATGATCATCCAAAAATAGCTCAAAAGCTTCTCATCTCTTTCTTGTTGACCTCCCTCAGTGGGAACAACTCAGGAAGTAGAATTTATATCTAAAAATTGTGAAATTCTCTTATATGGGTTTGTTTGTGTCTAGTATTAATACCTCAAAATCATAGTCATTTTGGACATCCAATGTCAGTCATGTTAATACTCCTCTCAATGCCTACAAAAGGTAGTTCGTGGCACCACAACCTTATACTCTGCATGAATGCCCATTATATCAGACTTACTATCTTCCTAAACACCAAATTTTAATCCACTGAGAGTCTCTCATAAGCTCAGCTTGAGTCACCGGCGCTCCTTCCTCGTCAGCTGGAAGTTGAGACTCCTCTTTAACGTCTTCATCCTCCCCCATATATATTGGATATTGATACTCATTTATGTCTTCACTTTCTTCAGTGTATATTGAGTCATTGACTATTTCTTGAGTTGATCCCTGCTCAGTGAAATAGACTTTACTCATGTTTGGGCAATCTGAGGCACTAGGCCCAAAACCGTAGCACTTGACGCACTTTCTGGTTGGGACAGATTTGAGAATGCTAATTAAATTCACCCGTTCTCATCTCTAAATTATTTTCTCCTCATGTAGGGTAGACTTCGATGCTCAACTAGGTGTAATCCTATGATTGATCCTACGATTGAGCTATGTCTTTAAGTTGTGGCAGTCATTTGATGAGGTTGTCTCGAGAACATGTCTTGTTTGTAATGAATTGGTAATTACTTGAGATGTATTTCTCGTTTTATCTTTGACCAAATAGTAATTTTACTCTTTCCTTCTTGCCATCGAAGAATCTTCAAGTTCTCCCACCACTGAGATGCATTCCTCCTGAACTTGTTGGCGGCTAGTTTCAGTATTTCGTCCGATGAGACGTCTTGGTACTCAAAAACATATTTTATTGTCTAAAGTCACTCAATAAACTAGTTTGAATCCAAATGATTGTCAAACTATGTTGAATCCATATGACCATCAAAAGATGTTGGATCCATATGACCATCAAAATATGGCAAATCCAACTTTATTTAAAAATTTTGGCTTCGTCAATATTTCATGTTAAATCTTTGAGTTAGTGGCTCTTCACATCTAGAATCTGTCAAGTGAAATGGATTTATTGCATTCTTTCGATCTGGCAAGTCATCGTTGTGATTACGGGTAGCGATTCTTCATCTTTAGAATGTCTAGTGGAATGGATTTATTGTATTTTTTCGATCTGATAAGTCACCATTGTGGCTACGGGTGCGGATTGCCTCCTATCAAATGTAGTAAGGCTCTGTTGCAGTTGGAGCATTTCCGCCGAAAATCCTCTATAGAAGATTCTTGGACATCTTGCTAATTTCTTATAAACGACATTGTGACGTTTCCTACTGATCAGATCTCTAGCAATTATCTCTTCGTTGGCGTGGGTGGGAGAAAAATTTTTGGTGATCGGTTTTAAAAATCAGCAAATGAAAGGATTATTATGTGAAGGTGGGGTTAGACAAGAGTAGATTTTGGATACCGGAGTTAAACCAACAAAAACAAGAAAAAATAATATTATTATTGAACTAAATATGAAATTACAACCAGACAACTGAAATAGGAAATAATAACAAACACGACACACAAGAAATCTGAAATTGCAACAAATGACGACACAAACTCAACTATGGTGGATCTCAGGGTAGTGGTGGTAATCAGCGAGGGATTAGAAAGTGGCAGGATGGTGGACGAGGGGGTGAGCAATTAGAAAACGACAAGGCGATGGATTTTCGATTTCCTTGTAGCAAGAACGCCACAGGTATCTTGTGGAATGGTTGTCTGGGATGATGACAACAAAGGAGCATGGCTGAAAAGCAGCGGCGGCAAATATGGAGGGCTGGAACAGCGAGGGCAGCGAGGGCAGCGAGGATGGAGGGTTGTTTAGGGGGGGTACTGGAGGCAAGGAAAAGGGGAAAATGTGGTTCCTAGAATGCGGTCGCAAATCAGGAGTGTGTGGTTTGAAAAGCGGTGGCAAAGTGGATGCCAAAAAAAAAGCCGAGGGCTGTTTCCGAGCGATTGCAGCAGGTACAATGATTGTAGCAGCGGAGAGCAGGATGCAGAGGAAAGGAAAGTTGAAGATAGTCACCACCCAGGTATGAGATACAGTTGGAGCACCACCCGCCCTTGGATACAACCGTAAAAGGGGAAATCAGAGATGTCGGCAGTTGTCTCAATGGTAAACACATAAAAATTATAAATTCAAACCCGAATACAAAACATGTATATGAAATGACTAGAAATTAATGAAGGATAAAATAAAACATGCTAAAACTTGTAAATGAATCGAAAGCGGAGCCGCTCGATTCAGCTATGCGCCATTCGAGCAACCCGGAGGCCGTGTCCAGTCTTCAGTCCCAGGAAATCCTAGATGCGGGATGCGATCCCGCGTCTGCCTTTTGACTCCCCGCGTCACAAATAAGATTTCTTGAAAAAGCACATGAAACAATGCTAAAATAAGCAGATAATTTAAGCACTTTAAATATGCACAAATGGATGAAAAGGACCTTCATTAATGTCCTTGAATTTGAGGTTTGAGAGTTTTGATGGCTATCTCCTAATCTATTGTTTTTCCTCTCCGACCAAGAGTTGCAATTTCCACATGCAAGGATAACATAGTTAGAATTCTCTTCTACCTCTTTGGAACATTTTTTTCTTTTGGAGCTTTAGATACATAGCACTTAATATTTTTACATATCTCACACATAAGCTTTCATATTTACATACATAGTACTTTGGTGCTTTAGACCTACGCATGAGAGGGTGTATTTCACAATCAAAAAATGGTAATCGTGTTGAATTTTATGTAATATTAAAGATTTGATAGTTGTATGTGTAAATATGAAAGTTTAGATGTGAGATATGTAAATACATAAAAAATGTTTGCTATGTATGGAAATGCCACTCTCTTTTTAGAGTTGTGGATTGCATTTGATATCTCTTGCCTAAGTTCTTTTTAGCTGAGGCAGTTCCTTTGTGATTCTCTATATCAGAACAAAGGACCTCTTATATTCCATCTTATTGAGAATAGAATCTTCTTTAAGCTAAAAGAGAATCATTAATATTCACACACACAAATTGAAAAAACTATATCTTGAAGCTCCTAACCTTTGGTCAAATACTTGTTTTACACCGCAAAAAGTATACAAGCCATAGTAAAAAAATTGAAAACAAACCACAAACATAAAACAATGTATTGATACACGAACAAGTTCTCTACTCCTTAAGGTATCACGATGTGATTGATGCTCTGGTAAAAGCGCCATTTTTGATAAAGTTGTGAGATAAATGTTATGCAGGAAGTCACCTCAGAATGATTGAGTAGAAGAATGGCACCAGCCTCAAGAAGATCCAAGGCGTTGTTGTGTTTTTCAGCTGCAACATATCTGGAATGACAAATCAAAATCAAAAGCAGCGCCATATGATTTCCAGTAATCTAAGCTGTTAAATTTTATATGCTAAGATTCAGTAAAGTGAAAGAGAAAAATGATCAGCAGAACATGCAGACTACTCAAAACCACCTAATCTATTAATACAAATTACATTATATTCAACTCCATTTCACATTAGAAATAGAACCTAGATATAAACAAGACAAACTCTAATCTTGGGCCTCAGACATTCCTCAAATTTCTCCAAAACCAATGTGTAAACCTGTTAGGTCAAACAAGAAATTATTAAGTGCCAACACCAAATGTAGCTCTACGCACAGACACCAATCACGATGTGACAGATGGAAATAGACTAGGACTGAATTTTATTCATTGAGGCTCAACTCGGCCAGAAAAACCCCATTATTTATTCTCTTCTATCCTAGACTTAGCCCAAAAAGTTCACTATTAAGTTACGCTTATCATAAATAAACCAATCAGATGTCTTCCATTTCGATGACCTTTTACTTTCAATGGCTTTATCTCCCTAGCTGCAAAGAATGAAGAACGATTTGGGTCTTCTCCAATACAAATTCACCTTTTCAGCAATTCCATGGCACCAGTTACCCTCTCCTTCAGAACCATCCTTTATCCAATTCTCACGTTATGGTGAACAATTCTTTCAATCTTTCATTTTCAAATAAAAAGAATTAGAGCTTGAAGGAATTCTTATAAGAGACAACCCGACTCAGGTGCGTGCTTACAAGATCACCCATTTCTAGTAATCCTTTTGATAAATTATTATTTACTGAATTACTTTAATTATCTTACCCTTCTTAAATGTGATTGGCAATTAGTTATGCCAAAACTGCTTTCTTTTTTCCTTTATACAGCTAATATTTGACCATCTTATTTGCAATTGATGATGATTATTCATTATGTCTTGAAATTTGTGTATTTAAGTATTTTACATAACTAAAATTTATTATAGTACACATTTGCAATAAATATTTATCAAGCTAAATAATTCACATAGTTATATATTTAAATTTTACTAGGAAATGTGATATAATATTACTATTACACAAAGCTGTAAACCTATTCAAACACAATATAACTATAGAACACTGCTAATTTACTTGCGCTTTCAATATAATATGTGATATTGTTACAAATACACAATTATATGCTTCCATTAAATTTCAAGTGATTGCAACATTGTGCCACATTCCTATATTTTACTGGAAGCATCTCATTTTATTGTGAGCACATAATTATGTACCTCTATTAAAACTCAACAAAATTGCAAGACAAAATCATGTTACTATATTTCGCTGAAAATATCTCATCTTATTACTAGTAAATAGCTATGTACTACTAAAATTCAGTAGTAATTACAGCAACTATTAGTACTTATTTTACACTAAGATATCTCTCATTATTTTATCAGCACGTAGATTACTACCCTATAAAAATTCATAATTTATTGTAGTAAAATTTAAATAGTTATCTTTTACTGAGAGCTGTCCAATTTTTTAATGGGCACGAAATTCTAGACTCTTACTCAAAATAATTGTAACATAAAGCTTTATACATAGATTGAACATATTTTTACAAAAATACAACAAATTATTTCATTTTACATCTTATCTTTTGTTTATGCATTTTATTAGTATATGCAAGATAAATATATATTATCTTCAACATACTATCACATTAGAATATAGTGAAATAAGTTTTTTTAATAGGTGATTGCGTGTTGAGTTGTACTGCTAATGAAATTTCTTTTATGATTAGGCATCCAAATTATGGTGATTAAATCCGTTGGACAAAAGAACCACTCTCCAAAGCCACTTCTATTGACATTACAAATAAATTGAAAAACTTTCACCCTTCTCGTAGTTATACATCAAATTACTGAACTTTTTTTTCCGTGCTACAATCACAAAGAGCCTGAGAATTTGTTACTCTATAATAAAAATCTTCATGTTTTTTTTTTTATTATAACTAGCAATATGTTATATGGAACCTCTTAGTTACCCAATTTAATAAAATCACAATGAAGAGAAGGGCAAAGCATTTTCTGTTAAAACAATAAAATAAAGGTCAAGTTTCTACAACTAAAGGTACTCTTTGGAATATAAAATTATCCTGCATATAATGAACAAATAATGCATGAACGGCATAGTGATAAAAGAAAGGATTTGATATAAATTTGTAAAAGATATATTCCATAACATACATACAAAACATAATGCCGTGATTCTAATACGCTTGAGTGGAAGCACATAGCTATGAACTTGTAAAAAATGGGGCATCTCTCAATAATAAATTTAATTAAGCTTTACTGCAATCATTACTGAAATTTCATAACACAATAAGGCTACATGCTTATAATATAATGAAATATCTCACAACAAGGTAAGTATTAAGATTTATTGTTATTGCTATTAAATTTTAATAGAAGTACAGGGATGTATACTCATAATAAGAAGATAACTCTCTCAAAAAAACATAATAACATACATTACTATGCATTCATAAGGAAATAAGATATCTTCCAATAAAATGTAGGTACACGAATCAATGCTACAATTATATTGAGTTATAGTGAAAGCCACGGCTATAAGTTTGTAATAAGATATCGTATTATCTTGAAAGCACAATTGCATAATTGTGAGTTATAATTCCATTTGCTTTAATAAAGTTACAGTCATATAATATAATAATATGTCAATTTTCTTAACAAAATTTAAATACACATTTAAATGGTTTGTATGAAGTACTTAATTAAATCCACATGTATAGAAAAAGTGTGATATAACAAAATATGATTATATGAAATACTAAAATGCATAGATGTAATGAAATAATGGAGATTATCTGTTGCAAATGAAATCATATGGATATCGGTTCTATAAATAAACAAAAAAAATGCAAACTCGATATAAATTATTGCAAAACACAATTATGAGTAATAATATAGTAAATTAATAATCAATCAAAATGATTATTGAAAATGTAGGGTCTTTTAAATACACACTTAAATCAATTTGTCTCCTTCCAAAGCTCCTTTAAACCTTAATTCTTTTTATTTAAAAATAGTATACTAAAAGGAGAGATTCACCATAAGTCGAGAGCTAGACAAAAGAAAAAAATTCAACCTATAGAAAAATGGCAACTGGTGCTGCCAAATTGTTGGAGTAAAAGAGAAAATGACAGTTGATGCCATAGGCGTAACTAAATCAAACCGGCTCAAGGTTAACTCAAGAAATGACTCATCAACCAAGCTTAATGAGCTAATAAGCAAAACTCGAGGCGACCTCAACTCAACTCATTTAAAAATGTTATATAATAAAACTTAACATAAATTAGAAAGTATAAAGCTGATACTTTGTCTCACTTCCTTATATTATGTGTTTTTTTTATTATTTCTCATCTAAACTTTGATGTTTTTTATCACTTTATTCCAACAAATACTTGAGTCAAAATCACATTCTCTAATCATGATAAATGACTTGGCTCGAAAACCAACTTGAACTCATAGAATTGATCTCGAGCTAAAACTCAAACTCGATGAATTAATCAAGCTAGAGCCGAACTTGATGAATTAATCAAGTCAGAAGTGACTATTACTCGGCTTGACTAGTTTCCACCCTTAATTGATGTTGTAGCAAAACCCTAATTCTCGTTCTTTGCTCTCGCAAGAGAGATAAAGCCGTCATAAATGAAAAATAACGAAACTAAAAACAAAATGGAAGACATTTAGGCAGGCTATATTCAAGCAGGAATCAATAATATTTTTTTGAGCAGATTCTGAGATAGGCAGGAAATAATGAGTTTTCTAGGCCCCAATTAATCACAGTTTTTTAGGCTGCAATTTTTGTTCAAACTTACAGCCAAGTCTAATGTCCAAACATAATAATTTCTCGTATGAAACAAATTCTAATTCTACACTGAATTTATTAAGGGCATTTCACATACATAGAACAAATATTTTATGTATTTACGTATCTCAGGCCTAAACTTTCATATTTACATACATAACACAAATCTTTAATATCACATCAAAAATAGCTTGATTGTCACTTCTAAAAGTAAAATATACATTACATGCATGGGATTAAGGCACCAAAGTACTACATATGTAAAAATGAAAGTTTAAGTGTGAGATATCTAAATGGATAGAAATTGTGTGCTACTCATGCAAATTTCCCAAATGTATTTTCAAGCCAAATTTACTAGCAAGCAGAATAAACTCCATTATAAGTATGATATAATATGCATAATTTTTTCCTGCTTATAGTGACGCAGTTCTACACTAGATAAAACAATCGCCCCGTGACCTTGGAAAGTGTATGCATGAGTAAAATGGAAATTTCTACCAAATCTAACGAAAGATCAGCATATTTCATTCATCATTTCTCAAACGTAGAAATGTAAAAATACCTTGCACTGTATGTCTTGTACAACTGCAGAGCACCATACGCATTCCCTTCATTTACACTCTTCTCCAGCTTCTGCATGATCTGCAATTTTATCAAGAAAACATCTGATTAAGTTCCACAAATCAATCTTGGTTTCAGGAATCTAAAGCGACGCAGGCCCTATATTCTTCGGATGATATAAATTGATCTAAGAAAGAGGCGCATTCCGCGCCTGGTTGGTTGCCTCCTCATCTTCGAATCGCGGCGTCGAACGGTGACCGGGAGGGGGCAGAGAGGAGAGCCGAGTAGGATGGGGATGGAGGGGAGAAGGGAAATATGCGGGAGACTTTCTCGTACTGATTGCCGGTTAGCGTTCATCTTCGAATCGCGGCGTCGACGGTGACCGGGAGGGGGCGGAGAGGAGAGCCGAGTAGGATGCGAATGGAGGGGAGAGGGAAATTTGCGGGAGACTTTCTCGTACTGATTGCCGGTTAGCGAGACGTGGCTTCTTGTTGGACGTTGGATCGGTTGAGCTGAAGGCCAGGTCTCGGCTCCCGTCGTTTGATCGTCCAAATTGTAGCTAAAATTGCTCTCGAAAATGGTATCGATTTTTTAGGGGTATTGACATACATACCAACTAATTTCAATGTATGATGTATATATACTTGAACAACACCCAAGAAATAACATTAAAATGTGGGGAGAGAGAAATGTGTTCAATAGTGTTCATTTGGGATGTTAAATTTGAGATTGTTTGTGAATCACGCCAAAAAAAAAATTGTGTGGGGATGGTGATAGAGAAGAGAGGAATGAATGGTAGAGAATATTATTCAATAATGTTCCTATTATACTTTTGATTGTTTGTGAATCACGCCAAAAAAAATATTGTGTGAGGATGGTGATAGAGAAAGAGAGGAATGAATGGTGGAGAATATTATTCAATAATGTTCCTATTATACTTTTTTTCGGTGTTGTACCCCTAGTTCTATGAAGTCGGCTGGAAATAGCTGACTTGAGCTTATTAAGTCGATTGGAGCTGGTGATCAGGCCAAATGCAGTTGGACTTGGTCGAATGGAACTTGGATGGTCGAGTGATGTTGATAATCGAGTTGAATGGAGTTGGTTAGGCTGATTAGAGCTGGTATGTCAGGTAGAATAGAGATGGTGGCAAGGTTAGTTGGATATGGTCAGGTTGAATGAAGCTTACATGATAGACTAATGTGGGTTAGTCGGGTTGACTGAGCCGGTAGTCAGGTAGAATAGAGCTATCAGGGTCAATTGGAACTGGTTGGGCTGAGTAGAGTTTGGCGTTTGGCCTTATGGAGCTACTTGGGCAGACTCGAGCTAGTATGTATGGTCAATTGGAATTGGTTGAGCTGAATGGAGTTGGCGATTGGGTCAAATGGATTTTTTCGAACTAAATGGAGCTAATCGAGCCAAACTAATCTGGTAGTTGGGTTGAATGGAGTTATTTGGGCTGACTGGTGTTGACCAAGCCGGCCAAAGCTGGTGGGCAATTAGAATGGGGCTAGCTGGGCCAAATGGAACTCGTTGGGATGAATGAAGTTGGTAAGGCCAACTTCAGCTCGCATGTCGAGCTGATTAGAACTTGTAGGGCCAACAGGAGCTGGTGGATGCGCCGAATGGAGCTGACGGGCCTAACTAGAGCTGATCGGGTTGGATGGAGCTGATCAGGCCGAATGGAGCTGTTCAGGCCAACTAGAGCTGGTCTGTCGAACTCAATGGAGTTGCTCTGGTCGAGTCGACTGGAGATGGTCGAGTTTAGCTAGTTTTTTGGACAATCTCAGTGCTTTAAAACTACAAAGTAGAATTTTGTCATGCATACTTACAAATGGGCCCGAGCTTTCTCGAAAATATAAAATATTGAGGGAAGTTTACCGTGAGGTTTTACGTTGAATTTTCAAAAGGCATGCGAGTAGTAGATAAGACGCCACCCAAATATTTCACCCTCATTTGTGAGGACTATAAAATCTATGGTTCTAGGTTTCCCATAAGCGCATGTCTTTATGGTTAATTACTCTTATGATAATGGGAGAGCACTTTCAATTAATCTAATCATTAAGGAGCTCATTGATCGACGTGTAATTGTAGCAAATTTAAAGTTTAAATTTGATGAAAAAATCATCATTTTGAATTGAAGTGTGAATGGTGAGGGGAATGATGATGCCTCGATCAAGATCTCTTGGTTTTTTCATATTCAGTTGTCGTGGACTCTGGTCTACTTTGTCATAGAAGGTAGTCCACCTAACTCGATAAAAGGTCCACTGTTAGCAACTATGGGTTGTTGTCATCCAAGGGAATCTTGCAGACTTGGGTAAATGTTTGTCAAAAGAGATTAATCACAATCAACCTTAGCTAACAAAGAGTTTCATACCATATCAAATATATTCTATAATTCATCACTCAAAAGAGTAGAACGTCATTAGGGAACATATTAGTTATAGTCGTGATCGTTTTACAGTGGAGCCTACTAGCCAAACCACGATGACAGATGAATCAAACCACATCCTTACTGACATAAAGTTAATTTGAGTTTGAATTTATTAGTGTAATTGATATAACATTTAGCTTTATGGGTTGTCTTGCTGGTCTCGAGAGCCTCTTATCACTGATTATCAAGCCTGAGAGGTTCATGCTCTACGCTTCTGACAGTCCAAAGGTAACAAGTATGGGACTGGTCGAGATCACCATGGATAGTGATTACCTCCCCATCGTCCGGGAACTTCACAGTCATGTGATGGGTTGAGGCAATGGACTCGAAGGAGTTTAGTAGAGGATAGTCGAAGATGACATTATAAGTGGGTGGTGAGTCGACCACTAAAAAGTCAGTAAAATTGTGAATTGTTTGTTTTCTTCCTCTCGTTAGATAAATAATAGGGCGCATCGATCGTTGTTTGCCAATCAACTGTTGTTGAGGCCTATATTTACTAAACGCATGCTTAAATAGGATATTCACAGAGCTGTCAATGTCGATGAGTGTGTCGCCAATATGACAATTATCGATCAATGCAGTGATAATGATAGCTTCGTTGTAAGGATTACCTTTAGGGGAAAAATCTTCATTGATGAAGGTTAAGGGGGAAGTGAGTTGTATTTGGGCATAAGGGTAACTTTGCATATTTCTCCCGACCAGAGCCTCTCCAGACTCGCTCGACAAACTGAGTCTCCACTTTCTCCAAAGATGGCAAGAACTATGTCAGTGATGTGGATTGCATGGGCTCAGATTGGCTCATATGATATTTCCTTCACGAGAGCCTTCTGATGTCACTGAGTTGCTGCTCCCAATGCTACAAAATTCTTTCGTTTACCAAACTCGATCAACTCTTCGACGAGGTCTCAGAGGTGTCAGCATTCCTTTGTGTCGCGCACATGTTCCCTATGGTTGACACAATATTTTTTCAGATCCTAGAGATAAGCTCTGATCTTCATATGGGGGAGGGGGTATCTTAAAGAAATCTTTATTTTAAATGACCTCCACTATTTAGGCCATCAAAACTCTAAAGGAAGCTATATTAGTTACATCATATTTAGGCAGTGAATGCTCATTGCATCGAGCTGGTCACTGGCCATGATATCAAGCTTGACTTCGTTGATGATATGTTCTGCCATTCATATTGAGGACTGATAGAAGGATGTGAATCATGTCTCGGCATCAACCCTTTGGCTTTGGGGGACCCTTATATGTTGGATGCTAGTGCAAGACTCTACTTTGGAGGAAATAAGATTAAAGCTATACTTCTTAACCAATATGTGGTTGTCGGTCAACTCCAACAACTTAGCTAATATCTTAAGTCATTACAGACCCAATGCATACCAAAAGGGTCCTTCCTTTAGCCCTTGAGCTAGGGCGACACAAGCGACTGTGGGATCCAAGTCCAATGCTTCCAACATCCCCTTCTGCAAAGCTTGTGATAAATGAGTGAAGGCTCTCATTTCATCTCCAGTGGATCTGTAAGAGGGTCTGTTAGTTTTTTCGGGTCTTCTGGGCACTAACAAACTGCACCACAAACACTCGCTTGAAATTGATGAACGATGCAATTATTCCCGGTGATAATTCGTTGAACCATTTGAGAGCCGACTCTTTTAGCGCAGTAGATAAGATACACCGTTTTAACGTATTCGCTCGACCCATTTAGGATTCTAGTGTTGAGATCTTAAATTTCTATGGGGGTTCAACCTAGGAGACTTATTGAGTGAATGCATTATTGGGCTTTCAGGGTGCCTCAGTATGCTCGTACTGATGTTGGTCGATCAGTGCTGATCCATCACTTTCGAAGTACTGAGAGTAACTTTCTCTTTCCAAAGTTGAGGGGGCATCTTCAACTCTTGATCATCATCCCTTCTTCCCAGGGTTGCTAATCCCTTCCCTGGGTTAGCGTGTCTTGAATGACATCCAACATTTGATTTTGCTATGAACTCTCAGGTTCACTCCATATTATCGGTGTCTATACCGTGAGTTTCTTCTCCTTGGTCGCTCCTCTTCTTGTTTGTGGCATGGTTCATGCTTGTCACATCTTTTATGTTATTGAATCATAATTTTTTTGTGAATCACATCTAAGAAATAAAGCGTGAGTAGAGTGAGAAAGATAGAGAGAGTCTAAACAATAATGAAGAGTAAAATATTATGTACTATTCATGAAATGATCTCCCTATTTATAAAAAGGAGAGCACAACATGATGACACTATATCTTTGCCCTTGCTTTTGATGAGGCATGTACTAAGGTTTTTTTTTTTTTTGTGTTTTACATGGATGGTCATGTCATTTAGCTGCTCTCTTTTTGTATTTTACATGGATGGTCATGTCATTTAGCTGCTCTCTGGGTCGACTGACTAAGCTTGATTGGTTTCGGGTCGACAAGATTGGCTTAACAGTTGAGAACCAGTATGTCAGATAAGACTAGCTCGGTCAGTTGAGACCGACTGAGTTTGGATGATACAGGTCAATCGATTAATATTACTCGACTGTCGATCTTTGACTCTCAATGAGGGGCATTAAATATCTTTGGGATGATTGGAGATACTACGAAATATATCTTCATTGGATTGGCTCTTCCATAGCAGTTGACTATGATGGCTCTTCGTATTGTTTATGATAAGGTGATTCAGGCTTGTATCATTCGGTCTTCTTTTTTTCCTCCTCGTGGCTCAATTGACTTTGGGTCGGACATCTTCGCTCAGTTAGACAAGTGGACATCACAGTCTTCTATCGGCGGGCCTATCTTAGTTGTACTCTTTTATTCAGAACAATTAGATCTATTTGGTATTAATACATGCACATTTTTTAATGCTCAATTAGAGTAAATATCGATTATTTACATTATTTATTGCAGTTCAAATATTTATAAAAATATTAATGTATCTCTATTTGTTCATTTACATCATTTACATTATATTTCTATTAATTATATTATCCAAAAACTTTTTTTTTAAAGAATTAAAAGCATCATGTTTTTTAAATATAAAAAATATATATAATTTAAACACAATTTTAGCATTAATGGAAAAATAGCCTTGATGAGCTGGACAATCCACAAATCCGGCTCCTAGGGGTATAAAAGAGTCGAGTCAAGCTCGAGGCACCCTCGGCTTGAGCTTGAGCTTGATTAATTATATCTAGTTCGAGCTCAAACTCAAGTCAAGGAGTTCGAGCCGGCCCACGAGTCAGTTTCATTAGTATAAAAGAGATAATGATATTAATTTAATAAAATGATAAATAGAATAAAATGACCAATTTTGAGAGAAATAATAAGAAATCATTTAATATAAGATATAAAATATTATTTATCAAACATGTTTTAATATTTTAAAGATAAAATTTTAAATCTAATATATTTTGAGTATATTTTATATTATTATTTTCTTAAATGAGTGGGCTCGTATGCTAACAATTCGAGTCAGGGCTAGCTTGAGTCCGTCTTGTTAGCTCAGTTCAAGGAAAAAATATTTCATCCAGATGACTGCAAGTGTGCCATATGACCCGCTGATAAAATGTATGATCACGATGCGGTGTCGGGTAGTTGGATGTCCAAGAGCCACTTATAAGGGGAAGAAATATTCCCTCAGTACTACACTAAAGACCCCTACTCCGAACCGTGCCACGGCCACCGCAATTTTCCGAACATATCCAACTTTATAAATTTACCTCCTCCCACTGCGATGACCCACGCGGCCGCCATTTTCCGATCAGTCGTCGGTTTTCCAATCTCTAAATCTCAGAAAACCTCGAGGAGAGCAATCGTTAAATCTGAAATGGAGCTGCACCTCACGAAGCCCGACGACTGGCATCTCCATCTTCGCGACGGCGATCTGCTCGAATCCGTCGTCCATCATTCGTAAGCCAAGAGCCTTTCCACCCAATTTCTCCTTCTTTGCTGTCACCTTTCTCTGTAACATTTTGTTTGCAGGGCAAGTCATTTTGGTAGGGCGATCGTTATGCCGAATCTAAAGCCTCCGATCACCACGACTGCGGCGGCGGTGGCTTACAGGGAGTCGATTCTGAATGTTCTGCCTCGTGATTGTGGTTTTGATCCGATGATGACCCTTTATTTGACGGATGATACCTCACCTGAGGAGATTAAGCTAGCTCGTGCGTGAGTTAAAGAAATGTTTTTTTTTTTTAATTTGTTTACATATATATCACCTAATTCTTATGTATTTACATATCTAGACCGAAACTTTATTTTCTACATTTATACCCGCCCAAAATTTTCATCACATCAACTATACCACCATTTTAACAATTGAAAACTGAAATACATCTTTTTCTGGCATAGTTAAGGTCGAATATAGGTAGAATTTATTGTTTAGGTGTTAGATAAGTAAATACATAAGAATTAAGTGTTATGTATGTAAAATTCCCTTATTTTCGTTTTTTTTTTCTTTATGATACCTTTTTGTGTTTTTTTTAGTTGTGAAATTTGGGAGCATTAAAGCTTTGAGCAAGGAAGAAGCTTCTTCCACTCAGTCACTATGATCCAACTGCTCATTTCTTCTTGCTGATTGTTGAGATGCCCATGAGGACAAATAATGGATTTTTATTGAAATTGAAATGAGAGTGGTGGCTCTTAACTCATTATCATTGGTTTGTGCTAATGGGTTGATTTATGTTCATTCACTAGTGTATTAGGCTTCCTATCAATCGGTATGTGAGTCAATGATTGGATTGCGATCGAGTGTTTCATTGAGTTTATTTTCTTATGCAGGCCTTGGTGTCTTCTTTTATGATTCAACAAGATTTAAGGGTTGGTGAGTTTCATCGAGGCTTTATATGATTAGTGTTCATCTATTTGCATATTAGGCTTATATAACACGTGTGAAATTCTACTCCCCATAAATTGATCTATGTTCCCATGGTTCACTTTGGATGGAGTGTTTTATGTTGTTTGGGTCTCCCATAAGTCTTGGCATCTTCTAGTATGATCAACTAGATTTAAGAGTCGGTTAGTAATTTAAGTTTCATGTGATTCAGTGCATCTTGGTGAGATCGTAAAGCTTTCGCTTGAGGGTTTTGATGACTGATGTAAAGAACTCTAATTCGAGAAGGTGATTTTTGAGGTGCACATAAGATTGAAAAGTAGAAACTCATTCAAAGTGAAATAAGAGTCTAATTTCTAGTTGCGATAGTCCGAACCCTCACCCATCGAGATATTGTCACTTTAGCTTGATAGCCTCATGATATTTTCCCAAGTGGTCACCCATCCCAAGAGTACTCCTCTACGGGCATGCTTAACTTTGGAGTTTCTATTGAAACTCCAGTCATTACACCAAAATGTGTCTCGATTTTAAGAGTTTAACTTCATTAAGTAGTTTCACAATTTATCCCACATAATTGATATCCTCATCAGTCGTTTGAACCTATAATCATTTATCTGACATATATGATTCAAGCCCTTATTGATTTAAGATATATCTTCCATTATGTAACACTTGTCCCATAATGGGTTCAAGAGGTGGATTCCATGACATATAACACTTTGTTCTGTATGTCACTTGTTCCCATCTTCAATTTAGTTTGACGCTCTTATACCATTTGTAATAGCCCAAACTCTCATCCATTGAGATATTATCCGCTTTGGCCTATTGGCCTCAAGCGACTTTGGTTTTTTCCCTCAGATCACTTAAATGATTGTTGTGGGTTAGATTGCAATTGAGTGAGGCGTTAGGCCAAAACGGACAATATCTCTATGGATGAGAGAGCGGGCCATTACACTAATTTTCTATATGTGTCTCCATTGCAGTGGACTCCATTCTCTTTCTTATCAAAATCAAGCATTTTTTTCTTATGTATCCCAAGTAAAAGTTGTAATTTTTGAATGAGTGTTTATTGTATGATAATTTGCTATTTAGGGAGTAGTGGAGTGGTCTATGCTGTGAAGTTGTATCCTGCTGGAGCTACTACCAATTCACAAGAAGGAGTAACAGATATCTTTGGAAAATGCTTTCCTGTTCTTGAGGAGATGGTGGCTTACTTTTTTTTTTTTACATTCATACCACCGAAATCTTTCATATCATTTTAACTTTTAAAAATTGAAATGTAGTTTTTCATGCATAAGTAAGGTGGCATGCATGTGGAAATTAAAGTTTAGGAGTTAGATATGTAAATACAAAGGAATTCAGTGGTATGTATGTGAAAGTTTTTTACTTAAATTGAGTATCCATAAAAGAGAAAAAAAAAAATGCCACATAGGCTGCTGGTAATGCTGAATCTGGAAAAGAGGAAAGAGATGAAAAGCTGGGAAATAAAGAGGAAATCAAGAGAGGAGAGACAATTAGGAGAATAGAGGGAGGTGAAAAAGAATAAAAGCATTACAACTTTGTAGTTAATATAGCAAAAGTTATTATGCTAAAACAAGGGGATAACTATAAAACTTTGAGGTTTTATTAGAAATATCATATTATTAGGCTTGTGTGCATGAAGTATCATTTGGTAAATTTACATATATAGCACAGAATTCTTATGTATTTGCATATCTCACACCTAAGGTTTTATATTTTCATACATAGCACTTCGGTGTTTTTAATCTATGCGTGCAAAAGGTAAATTTTACCTTTAAAAATTGACAATAATGAGTGCTATTTTTGATGTGATATCAATGATTCGAGTGTTATGTGTTTATATAGGAAATTTTAGGCGTGAGATATATAAATACACTAGAATTGTGTGCTATCTATGTAAACATGCTTTTGTACACAATGCATGAAGAATTCACACATCAAGTTTCAACATAGTAAATTATTATCAAGTTTGCATATTGGGGCATTTACATACATACCGCCAAATTATTATGTATTTACATATCTAACTCCTAAACTTCACTTTTTACATTTACACCACCCAAAGCTTTCATATCACATAAAAAAATACCATCTTTTAATTTTTAAAATGTGAAACGCACATTTTCATGTATAGGTAAGGTGGCATGTATGTAGAAATTAAACTTTAGGCGTTACATAAGTGGTATGTATGTAAATCTCTTTACATTAAAGTTTTTCTTTTCCAAATGCTTTTATAGGTTCATGGAGAAGTTACAGATCCAAACATCGACATATTTGATCGCGAAAAAGTTTTTATCGAGACGATTTTAGAAGCACTGGTTCGAAAGCTTCCACAACTTAAAGTTGTTATGGAACACATCACCACTATGGATGCTGTTAAGTTTATTATGTCAAGTAGAGAAGGTTTGCTTTCTCTGATTCTAGCTATACTATTCTCTCTCTCCTATCTTTTGAAATTTTCTTCTGCAAATCATATTTGAATGTTGGGGTGTGCATTATTTGGTCAAAACTACAATGCTAAGCCGAACCAAACAAATTTGGTTGATTTTGTTCAGTTTCAAAAAAAGCAATTTGGTTTTTTATTTTTAATATCTTAATATTTGGTTTTTAGTTATTGGTTTAGTTTAGATTATCGTCTAACCGAATGTGCTGAAAACTAGAAATTCGAAATTAAACTTTGGATTCATGAAATTAAATCAATATTATACATGCAAGATAGGTAATTCCTGATGTTTGTTCATAGGAAGATTTACATGTATTAAATATATCAATCAATTCCTATGTATTTGAATATCAAACACCTAAACTTCAATTTTTACATTCATACCACCTTACCAATGCTTGGAAAGGTGTATTTCTTCTTTTAGAAGTGAAAATGGTTGTTTTTTTCTGTGATATGAAAGATTTGTATGGCATAAATGTAAAAAAGGTGCTAGATATGTAAATATGTAGGAATTGGGTGATATGCATGAAAGTGCCCCTTGTTCATAATAGAACTCGAACTAAAACAAAATTTTATTTCAATTTGGTCGGTTTAGTTTTATCTATACTTTGATATGTTCGGTTTTTCGGATTCTAGTTGTAATCTATTTGATCAATTTGAAAAACTGATCCATCGAAACTGATCAAATGCTAACCCAGATCGGTAAATTTCACTTCGTAAAAGTTCCTTGTTCTACAGATTATGTCGCCGCAACCGTTACGCCGCAACATCTCGTGCTAAATAGAAACGCATTGTTTCGAGGTGGTTTGCAGCCCCACAACTACTGTCTTCCTGTTTTGAAAAGAGAAGTACACAGTATGTTTTCCATCTCTCCTTCTAGATGATCATAGTTATGCATTTTTGTAATATGATGCTTTGTTTCATAATGCCTAGGCTCGTAGTAACTTTTATCCTTAAACCCTAAACCTTTTATTCCCATTTAATGAAATGTATAGCTCTTCCTCAGCTTAAATATAAACATGAAATGAGAGAGATCTCCTTAGTTTGATTGGGAATATAATAATTTGATGGAGCATTTGCATACAAACCACAAAATTCACATGTATTTACTTACATATCCAACACCTAAACAATCATATTTACATGCATACCTCTCAAATCTTTCACATCAAAAATACCGCCATCATAGACACATTTTGATGCATAGGTTGATGACACAAAGGTGTTATAAGTGTAAATATCATCAAACTTTGAGTCTAAGATATGTAAATACATAAGAATTGGGGGGTATATATGCAAATTTTCCTAATATGATTTATAAACATTTTCAGTATATTAATTTGCAGGGCAAGCCATTGTGTCAGCTGTAACAAGTGGAAGCAAACGGTTTTTTGTTGGGACTGATAGCGCTCCCCATGCGAGGAATCTTAAAGAAAGCACATGTGGATGTGCAGGCATTTATAATGCTTCTGTTGCATTATCTCTCTATACTAAAGTATTTGAAGAGGTATTAATTTATTGGGAAATTTACATCTCTCACCTCTAAACTTTCATATTTACGCACGCAGCACTAATCTTTGATATCACATCAAAAGTAGCACTGTTACTATTTTCTTAAATAAAATACATCTTTTTATACATAGGTTTAAAGTTTCAAGGCATTAAGTATGTAAATATGGAAGTTTAGGTGTGAGATATGCAAATACATAAGCATGATATTAATGGGAAATTTATATATCTGACACCAAAACTTTATTTTTTGACACTTATACCACCAAAATCCTTCGTATCACATAAAAAAAAATATCATTATTTTAGCTTTTAAAAGGTGAAATATATATTTTCATGCATGAATAAGATGACACATAAGTAAAAATTGAAGTTCAGTTGTTAAATATGTAAATACACCGGAATTAAGTGGTATGTATGTAAATCTTCCAATATTAATTTACTCTTCTTTTATGGGGGCATATACATACATATAATTCAAATCTTTTAACATCACATAAAAAATGCTAGTCTCATTTACTTTTTAAAAATGAAACTCAATATTTCATATCACACCAAAATGTAATAAACGTGAATTTAGTTGGCAGATATGTCAATACATAAGAATTGTGTGGTATGTATGGAAATTTCCCTTTTATGTGATGATTTTGAAACATATCTTTTTGCAGGCTGGTGCACTAGACAAACTGGAAGCATTTATGAGCTTCAATGGACCAGATTTTTATGGCTTGCCTAGAAATTCTGCAAAAATTATATTGCAGAAGAGCCCTTGGAGAGTGCCTGAATCATATGTGTTTAAATGGGGAGAAATAGTTCCCATGTGTGCCGGCCAAACCCTAGAGTGGCTCCCATCTGTTTGTTAATTGCAATATTATTATTTATATATATATATATACATTTTCTTTTGCAGATTTCATCCATATTTTGGTAGTGTGGGAAGCCTAGTCAGTTTAGTAGAGCTATAAATAAAATGAATTGAGGCTTAGCTATATTTAGGGGTGTAACGAATCGAACACGAACGAACAGAGCTTGTGTTAGTGTTCGGTTTGTTTGAAATTTAGTTTGTTTGAAATAAACTCGTGTTCAAAATTGTTAGTAAAGTCACTGTTAGTGTTCGTTTCTTAACGAACGAGTCAAACATGAGCTGTTCGCGAACAACGAGCCGTTTTGTATTATGATTTAAACTTAAGTGAAATATACCTTTTCATGCGGATGTCAAAACTGGCTCGTTGTTTAGGGCTGTCAAAACGGCTCGTTGTTCGCAAACAGCTCGTGTTCGGCTCCCTCGCTCAATTTAAGAGGCCGAACACAAAAAATATATATATATCTTTGACGAGTAGTATGTTTTAAAAATTTAATTGACTATAAGACTACAAAGATTTATAATCAATTAAAAGTATTAATGAAGAAAATTGAATACAAATTATTAAAATAGATTCAAATGATGTTTTAAATCTTGCCCAATCCTTAACATCTTATGACTATTTGATTAGGGTTGTCAAAATAACTCTTTGTTCGTGAACGACTCGTGTTCGGCCCGATAAGCAAACGAGTTGAACACGAACACACTTTTTGAGTTTGAAATATAAACGAGCCGAACAAGAGCTGAGCCTGGGCTCGCTTGTGTTCGGCTCGTTTAC